AACTCTTTAGTATCTTGAATTCTTCCCTCTGCTTTGGCTTTTCTGCACTCCAGTACAATTTTCAGAGTCTCTTCTGACATCCATTTTGGTCTTCTCTTCCTCTTCTGTCTTTGTAATGAACGTTTACACTCTTCTTGGATGATACCCTTGATATCCTCACACAGCTCATCTGGTCTTTGCGCATTAGTGTTCAAGGCCTCAAACCTGTTCCTGAGATGGTTCTGAAATTCAGGTGGGGTAGACTCAAAGTCATATTTTGGTTCCCGTGGACTTGGTTTCATTTTCCTCAGTTTCAGCTTGAACTTGCGAAGGTACATGCTTCAAATTCACCAGTTGCTCTGAAGGAGAAAGATGGGCCATGTCCTCACTTGTGATTTACTGCCTTTGGAGGGAGTCAGTTCAACTATATGGGCCAGTTCTGACTCAGCGACCAACAATAACAAGTCATCCTGAGATGCAGATAATAGTGTATATGTTTTTTCAAAAAGAAGAGGTTCACGTTTATTAAACAGGTTGTCCAGTCTCAAACATGAAAGGTGGAAGCAACATAGGAACCCGGCCCCTCTCTCCCAGTGCCGTGCTCCCCATCAGGCTGCAGTCTGCCCCGGAAGAGAATCCCTGCCTCTTTATCCAATGCCATGCTCACCCCATCAGCCTGTACTCTGGCCTGGAGACGACGCCAGTTTTAACAGCTTGTGGAGTGAATGGCAGATGCAGATGAAAGAACTCTGTCAAGCTAGGGGTTGAGCAAACTAAGAGAACAAAGAAAGGCTATTTTTTGTCTTAAGATAAAAAGAATTCAAGCACTCAGAAAATGGATAATCTTTTCCTACTGAGGTTTAGAAGGGGTGTTAAGCAATAAACAATAAAGCACGGAGACTTGTATCATTGTCCTATGTTGTTAGGTGCCATCAAGTTGACTGCCACTCCTGGGCACCTTCTGAACAGATTTAGCCTTGCTGTCGGCAGGTGCTATCAAGTACAGGCAAAGCAGGGGAGAGACAGGAATGCTGGGGCTGAGGGTGGTCAGGAAGACCATGCAGAAGTGACAGTGTGGCTGTGACCTGAGCATGCGAAATTTTGAGGTCGTCGTGGGGACTGAGTGGGCTGGGAGGCCTGGGTGAGACTGAGAGCTAAGCAAGTGAGAGGCTCAACCTGATCCTGAAGGGGACGAATGCAAGGGAAGGGACATGGGGCATGGGGGACCTGCTCTTTGCCAGGAATACATCTAGAGGCGGGCCTTGGTGGCTGGTGACAGGGAGACATCTTCCTCTGAAACATGAGGAGGTCATCAGAATAGGAGTGTAGAGGTGTAGGGCAGCTCAGTGAAGCAAAGGTTGGACAGGAAGAGTAATGGGAATTGCAGTGTTCCCAGAGTAGGTGGTCAGGTCGGGGCGTTGGCATTTGGTTCCAGTGGAGGAGCGGTCCTGGTGGTGCCAATGTTTGGTGGTGGCCACCCGCCCCCCACCATGCTGTAAGCACTGGCTAGTTCCACAAGCTTTCAAGTCAGGCAGATTTGTGTTCAAGCCCATGCCCACCACCAGCTGACTTGGACAAGTTGCCCAATCTCTCTGAGCTTGTTTCTTCATTTGAATCTGAGAATAAAAGTACCCACTTCAAAGACTCCTATGAGGAAGAAGTAAAATACCACCTTTAGGGTCTTTGTTAAACCCATTTTGTTGCTGCTGTTGTGTACCATAGAGTCCAACCTGACCCAGGGCTGACCCTCCAGCAGATTTTCAGAGGCAGTTAATCACAGGGGAGGAGATTGCCCATCCTCCTTCCTCAGAGCAGCTGGTGGCCTCAAACCACGTGCCGTTGGGATTACAGCGTAGCTTTTTGCCACTAGGCCACCAGGGCTCCCCACTGTGGCTCCCTGTCTCTGGGCTCTGTTCCCTGGTCACCAGAGGTGGACCTGTCCACTGCAGAGGCTGGGCTACCTTCACTTCTGTATCCTTGGGATTGATGGCAGCTGGCACCCAGTGAGCACCCCTGGTTCCAGGAGATGCAGGCGGAAGTGGTAGAGCTGGGATGCCAAGTCCAAGGATAGAAATCCCCAGTAGAGGGAGTGGTGTGTAGTCCTGGTTTTGGCAACTCAGGGCTTCGTATCCTGTCTAATCGGAGAGACAGAGACCTCCCAGGGAATCTGAAGAGTGGGGAGAGGACAGAACTGGAGCAACAGGAGTGGACTCTGAGAGTCCACACCCTCCACCCCATCTGTGGGCCTTAGAGCATGCCTTTCTAGGAAGGCCCTCCAGAAGGGCCACAAAAATCACCCAGCGAACGATGGGTCAGTCCTCACAGCCAGTGCTCTACCCCACTGAGAGCCTCTTCTTACTCTCCTTGCTAAATCCAACCACCTGCCTCCCACCTAGGCCTTCCCCTGCCTGCTTAGCCAAGCTTGGCCCTCTTCCTGGGAATTCCTGCTGCTGGGACCCTACCTTTCACTCCAGAACCAGCCCAAATGCCTCTTCCTCTCAGACGCCTCACAGTGGGTTTCTGCAGGTCCTGTCCTGGTAGTTTCTGCTTTGACAGTCTAATCCTGTCACACAGGCCAGATGTCCTGTGTGGTCAGGCAGAGAGGAGGCGGCAACTCCCCTGTATCACAATACCCACCCCCTCGGCCAGGCCTTCGGGGTGTCTGAGGGAGGTTTGGTCACTGAAGAGGCAGTGGTAAGTCTGAAGGGGGAGCTAGAGGCTATGCCTAGCCCTGAGCAGTGGGCTTAGGAAGGTTGAACCCATGGAAGGGGGCTGAGGAAACATGAGAGGGTAATTCTGTACCTCCTCCTGTCGCCTTTTCAAGAACCCAGGCTTCTCAAAAATTGCCAGGATATCTGGGCCCACATGTCCTCATGCCCTCCCCAAACCCCAAGCCACAGAAGCCTGCTGCCCTGGACCACTCTAGTTTTGACTTGGTATGAAGAAATGCAGTCATGGGTAAGTGGCTCTGGGGACGCAGCCAGGCTCAGTGATAACATGCACCTCTCCCTCCCCCTTTGTACCAGGGAGTGAGATGTGAGGGTGGTGGCACATTTAACCAGCTGGATTTAGATCCATGTCAGAGCACACACATGCACACATAAGCACACCAGGTGATTTAAGTATTGCGTGGATTTATAAAAGAAGCACCCTTACATTTTGCTTTTGTAAAAATCTCAGTAGAGAAAAAAAAAAGTGACCTTCAGTGACTCAATATCCTGTCCCCTTTTAGAAAGTGTCTTCAGCTTAGATGGAGAATTGGCTCGAGAAACTCCTCTGGAGCCCAGTTCTCTCATCCCACTGCTGTGTCTCCAGATTTTTTGGCCTCGTCCCTGTCTGTGTCTTCCTTTGCTGCACAGCCACAGCGTGTCACCTGTTCCCCCGTCTGTCCATCTAAAAGGTATCTGCCAGCCTCACTTGTCGGCATGTCTGTTCCTCTCTCAGGCGAGCGTTGTCATCTTAAGTAGATTGCAAGGCTTGGCACTCCCACAGGGAGTCTGTGGTTCAAGGGCAGAGCCTGGGACTGGGGTGGGCAAGTGTATGGGTCTCTCCGGCATGATCTGTGGTCAACAACCAAGAGATGGTCAGGTGGGGCGCCTAGAGCCCAGGCTAGGCTCAGCAGTGCGAGGCATCCCTGCATCCCAGAGGAAGGAGTTGTGTACTACACTGTTAGCTAGGGAGGGGTGTGAAGGGCCAGGAAGAAAAGGCTTCAGGCCCAGATGTCGCTGCTGGCTCCTGCTCACAGGTGGACTCTTGGACTTTAACCAAGGCTGTAGCTGGTCCTCCTGTAGGAAGGGAAGGAAATCAAGGTGAAGGATAGGGCTGGGGTAGGGCCCCTGACCTGCCACCAATGCCTACGAAAACTTGAGTGACTATTCCTCCTCTTCCCTGCAACCCCTCCCCTTCACAGTCCCTGCTAATAAAGCTACATCCCTTGTTTCTGCAAGACTCAGCAAGCAGTCCCCCATCCTCCTGTCCTTCCTCTCCCCTGAGGTGTGAAGCTGGTTCCTGGTTGTTCTTCTGTGAGAGTCTGAAGTCATGAACACTGGGAAGTGAGGGACGGATGCTGGTCCCATTTGCTGCCTATGCTCATGGATTTGTACTGACATCTGCAGGTACACAACTGCAGGCTGGGAGTGCTCACCGTGTCACATGTGTTGACACTGTCGTGTATGTTTTCTTAGTGTTTTTTGCAGTGTGTATTTTCTCAGCACTTGCTAGGCCTCAGGCTCTTTCCTGGGGGCTCTTGGGATATAGAAATGGATAAAACACAGCCCTAGCCTTCTAAGTCCCACAGTCTCCTGGGAAAGGCATCCAGACAAGCAGGTCCCCCCACCCCACCAACCCAGGGGGTGGGCTCTGAGAGCAGCTCGGCACAACCTGTGGGCGGGGAGGAAGGAAGACCACGCCCCCAAGGTGGAATGGAGTGACATTCACTGAAAGGATGTGGAAGAAAGTTGCTGAAGAATCAAATTAATTCTGTCAGGGGCTCACTGAGATTGGTATGTTTGTGGGAGTCAAGCAGAAAGAAATGTGCAAGTAAGAGCCAGGTATGTAGATCTGGAGGTTGAGAATGAAGGGGCAGCTTCGGGAGAAGGTAGAACATAAGAAGGCCAAACAGGCCGATGAGGGACTTTGTAGAGCGGGAGATCAGGAGGAAACCCTCAAACCCTACCATCCAGTAGATCTCTCTCGTTGCCATTAAGTTTGACCTGGCTCATAACTGACCCTCTGCTGGGTTCCTGAGGCTGCAGATAGCACAGGAAGAGATTGCTCATCTTTCTCCCAAGCAGCTGGTGGTGAACTGGAACCACGGGAGAGGCACAGTCTTGTGAGTTCGCAGCACAGCTCCCTATGGACCACACCACCACGGCTCACCCCATGATAATTAAAGGGAGAGGCTTTGAAGGGCTGACTAAAATCGAAGTAGAAACATGTTGCCAGGAGAGGCTATTCCTTAGAAGGGGAAGTGTCAGTGTAAGAGAGGAAGACCCCAACAAGATGGATTGACACAGTGACTGCAGCCGCGAGCTTAACTATATAGGAGATGATATAAAGACGGCACAGGACAGGACAGGGTTCAGGTCTGTTGTTTAGAGCATCTCTACGTGTTATACTTGACTCAGCCGTCCCTAACAACAATATGATGGCACAGAAGCTAAGGACAGGAAATGTACCCACAGGCCCCACTGTCCGACTGTGTCAGTGCTGCAGCAGGCTCTGCTGGTCACTCACCACTGTGCATCTATCTGTGTGCCTCTCCGGGGCTGGTGACCCCACCTGTTACTCATGTGTGGGGTGCCTACCTCCGGAGGCTCAGCCGGCGGGAGGGATCCTGATGGGGCACCTTCGGAGTGGGGCTGACCAGGAGGATGCACAGCCCCGCGAGGATCATGCAGGTGGGCACAGCTCCTATGAGGACCTTGAGGGTTACCACCACCTCCTCTGCCTGCTCGCAGGCTCCAGCCTTGTACCCGGTGAACCTGGAGAAGCATCACTCAGCCATCCATGCCCGAGCCTCCCCAGGCCTGGCTCCCTGAGTGGAAAGATCTCAGATTCCCACCCCCTGCAGCATCCTGACACTCGAGGCAGCCTAACTGTGGGCTTGGGAGGACCTGCCCCTGGAGGGGAAGATAACTGAGAATGTGGAAGCTGGGACTTCAGAAGTGGAAACGGTGCTGGAGAAATAAGTCTCTTATTTGTGAGCACAGAGAAGCCTGGGGGAGGGTCCCCCAGATTTCCACAGAATCAAGCTTGAATGCAGACTCAAGGGCATCCCCTAAGCTGGCTGGAGGGGGCTTTGTATTCTTTTTACAGCTCCATTAGTGTTTTTTGTCTCAGGTCTCCTCCCACCTCCCACCCCACCTGGGGACTCACTCCAGACTGAGAGTGGAAATGCCCAGGGCACCTGCGCCTGAAAGCTTGGTGAAGAAGACAAAGGAGGAGTAGAAGATGGTCTCCAGGCCTGGGCCATGGTGGTGCTGCAGCTGGAAGTCATCCACCACATCCGGCAGCATGGACCTGGATGACAGGGGGGCACTGCAGACAGCCACTCGTCTGTTCTATGTGCTGAGGACTGAGACCAAGGTGGCTTTGTCCCTGGGTCCCTGCTACTCAAGACCGGGACCAGCCCTCAGGAAGTCAGGCTGTATGTGCGCCTGCATTTCCATCCCTCTCCCCTCCACGCCCTGGCCACCAGCGCTGCCTCTGCTGCCCCTTTAGGAGGCTGGACACAGGCTGTGAGACGAGTTGACACAAAGGAGGGGATTTCTGTGGAAGGGCATGAAGCTCCCGCAGCCTACCAGGGTAGCAGCATGGACACAGCAATGCTCACGCCGGATGCAAAGGCCACAACGTAGGCCACAGGTGCGGTGGGCGTGGCGGCCAACAAGACTGCAAAAGGCACTATCACCTGGGGAGGCAGATACACTGGCTGAGCCCTCCTCCTGCTCCCCGGGATTTGCTCTTTCATTGACACACTCACTAGTCTTTACCATGGTCCCATGTCTGGATCCACGTCGCCATCCCCCGACCCTGCTTCCTGGCCCACTCACACAGATCCCAAGGGCTGAGATCTTCTTCCCAAATCGATGTAGGATCCACTCCCACAGTGGGGTACTCAGCACAGCCGATACCTGGGAGCAGACAACATCACCATCACGGAGTGAGCTGCTCATGCCTCTGTCCAGAGTCTCAAAGCCTTGGGAGCTTTTAGATGATGCTCCTGGCCCCACCCATGGCTCTACCATTAGCTCCTGCTTTGATTTAATGATTTGTATATTTTGACGCTGGTCCAAATCCCACCCTCTGCTGGAATGCAGGTGCCTGAGACCAAGGCATGATCCAGAAAGTTGATCACCAGGGTTCCCATGTGTCACAGCAAGGACTACTCAATGTCCACACCAAGCCTCTTACCAGGATGGTTAGCACCAGCCTCTGGACGTGGTCATGCAGCCGGGAGGCATGCATGCAGAACAGGACCAGGTAGCTCTGCTCCACCTGAAGATGGAGACAAGAAGGGCGGGTGTGCACAGAGAGTGGCAGACAGTCAGAAAGTCAAGTCTAAGCCCATTTGGTACAAGCACCTGGTCTCCAGTCTGGCATCCCCTTCCCCAAAGAGGACACACCACTGTGCTGCCAAAACTATCCCTGTTCTACCTTCAGCCCTATACAGCTAGCATCAGTTGGGCTTTACCGCCCTTCAATTATTGTAGCATAGTGTATTTTGTCACACTGCTAACAGAAAGTGCAGCCATTAGAATCTCCCAGATAATTCCTAGGGAAAAAGACTGGAAGTCTCCTATAAGGATTTATAGCCTCTAGGGAGCTCTGGTGGCCTAGTGGCAAAATGCTGCACTGCAATCCCAGAGGCATGAAGTTCGAATCCATCAGATGCTCTTCTGGAGAAGGAGGGGCAATCTCCTCCTGTTCCAGTCAGATCCGAATTGATGGTAGATGCAAGAATAATAAGATAACATTTAAAAAATAATAATAAAGTAAAAATTTTAAAAATATTTACAGCTGAGGGAGGGGGCGGAGGGCTGGGCGGGGAGAGAAGTGCAGCAATGAATGGATGGAAACCCAAAAATCTCTAAGTATTCATTAAAATTATTAAGATTTTTAAAAAATTTAAAAAAAAAGTTGAGGGGATAATGCCCGTATCTCTAAGAAAAACAGCCAGGAAAGTAGGGCATCCTCTTTGACCCAGGGCCTGTGCTGGGCAGCTCCCTGACCCCAGAGGAGGCCAGAACCCATGGGAATCTCCACGGATTGTCAAGCTTACAGATGATGGAAACATGGGCCTTCCTCCAGAACCAGAGACAGGAAGGTTTCTCCCAAGGCCAGCATCCTTAACATGGGCTTCCAGCCTCCTCAGCTGTAGGAGATTAAAGTTCTATTTGTTTAAGTAAAAAAAAAATTACAGCCTCAGAAACTCAATGGAGGGCTACTGGGTGTCAGAATCCACTCAGGAGCAGTGGTCTGGAAGGTAATATAAGAAGAAACCACCCTAGACCTTGCTGTGTTCCTAGTCTGGCCTCAAGCCTTCTCCATCTCACAAACCATACCCTAGTCTTCCTCCTCCCTGCTCCAGCCTCTCTTGGCGATGATGCCAGCCATGGTTCTTTTTCCCCCATTACAAACTCAAGCCTAACTCTGGTGGTCTAACTCTAAACCCTGAACCAGGGTTAGGACGGCTAGGGCAAAGCCAGCATGGACCAGCCCGGCCAGTGGTACCTGAAGAGCAGCCGAGATGAACAGGAAGGAGACCACCAGCTTCAGGTAGGGTGGGTGGCGAACCGTGAGGCCCAGCCCAGCTAGGAAGCTCAGGCTTTGACCTGAGGCTGGGGCAGAAGAATCTGCAACACAGCAAGGGGACACCTTAGCACCCATCCCCAGAAGAAGCCCTTCCCCTACTCTCTTTTCAGGGCTCTCACTCTCTATTTCCATACCTGGCTGCTCCTTCACCCCCAGGGGGAGCAGGGCAATGCACACAGGGTAAGTTAGAGCAACCATAGCAGCTGCGATGGAGTAGAGATGCATCTGCAGGACAGAATAGAGCTGAGTGGGTGTGACAACTCCAAGCCACGGGGGAAGGGCGTGAGGGACAGGAGCCCCTCCTACTGGGAGCAGAGTGACCCTCAGTCCCAGCCTAGGGATGCTGAGTCCCTCTCCTCCCAATCATCCCAGCAGTAAGTGCCCAGACTGGTCCATCCGCACACACGTCCTGCTAGCCGAGCCTTCTTAATGGAAAGGGAGCATCCATGCCTCTAGGGGTCAGGGCTGCTTCAATCGCTCTTTTTTTCAGTTTTTTTAAAAGCAAACATTTATTGCTGTTGACTTTTGGATGCTAGACCTTGAGTTTGGAAATCAATGTAAAGAAGGCATTTTAAACAGCAACTACCAAATGCTGATAGAGGCTGTCTGCAGGAAGGTGCAGGGGGAAATGGGGAGGGAGATGGCACTGAGCGTGTGCCCTTCTCTTAATGCTTGTTAGCGTCCTCAAACTCTCAACAACATTATCATGTCGACAATGCTGAATGTGACCATGTATTCATAAGTGAAATCTGAGGCCAAGGTAGCATGTGCTCCCACGGACTCCGAGACTCAGCTCACAGCAGGCTGGCCTCCCAGAAATGGTGCTCAGCCTCCTGTGTTCCTTCCCAGAACACCCCAGGCCCTGCCTGGCCATGGCCTCCTCCTCCTGGACCACTCCCCACCTTGCCACCTACAGTAGGGTGGGCGATCAGGAGAGACCTGGGTTTATTTGTTGTCTGCCTCAAGTTGGGGTGTGGGAGAGTTGGTAGGGATGAAGCATGGTAGCAGCCTTTTCACATGAGGTTGGTAGGGCCATGGAACCATTTGGAGGGTTTCTGAGGTGTGGAGGACTCTCACCTCCAGTCCAGGTGCCCAGTGTACCCCAGCACTGGGAGGCTGTAATTCCTTGGTTGGCACCCTGGGCCCTATAGGCATGGGGGTTCACTGCTGGCCCTCAGCTGAGGCCTCACATTTTCACATTGTATTTTGTTGCATGCTGTCAAAGAGGAAACCACCATAGTCAACCTTCCAGTGGGTTTTGCTTGGTAGTGCAATTCCTTACCACAAAGCCACTACAGCTCCTGCCACACTGCACCAGAGTCCACAAATGAAACTGACCCTGGAGATGGGTTTGTGGAGAGACACCTGGGGACTAAGGTTTCGGTGTTTCTTAAATAGGAGGTAGGAATACATGGGTGTTTCTGGCATTATTCTCATATAATAGATCCTCAAATTTGGCAAGTATCAGAACTCTCTCAAGGTCTTATTAAAACAGATACTGGGCTCTATCCTCAGAATTTCTGAATCAGGAGGTCTTGGGTTGTTGTTTTTTGATGCCATTTAGTTGACAACTCATAGTGAGTCTATGTAAACCACAGATCTGAAATTTGCTTGCCCTATCCTGCATTGTTAACAAAGCCCATAAGATCTGGGAGAATGGGGTACCTGCAAGGGAGATAAATTGGCAGTCTAAGCTTCCTGCCATGTGTGACACATTGGGGTTCCTGTCATGAGTTAGGGGCTCAAAACATGAAACCAGACTCCATTTGCTACCCCAGACTCACCTTCCAAGGGCTTTTAGCAGAAGGAAATGCAAGGTCTAGTTTGCCCTTCCCCACCCACCTTTTTAAAAACATTTATTTGTTAAATGAAGCATGTGGTTGTGCGCCATCACGTTGGAAATGACCCATAGCTGACCCTACAGTGGGATTTCAGAGGCAATAATCACACAGGAGGAAACTGAAACAGCAGCAGGTGGACTCAATCTACATGTCTTTGGGATTGCAGTGTAGATTCTTAACCACTAGGCCACCAGAACCAGTTTGCCCTCTACATGTCACCCTGTCTATGCTGAAGCCATGAGGACAGCTGAAGGCAGGTATACTGTGCTGGGGCTGATGTAGAAGTTGTGGGGGGAGAGAAGGAGCTGATGGTGATGTGGGTCGGAGTGTGACAGGAGAGGCAGACTTGGGAACAGATGCCAGACAAACTCGATGTAAAGAAGGGACAGGAGTTGGCCAGGCAAAAAAGGAGGAGGAGTAAAAGGGACCTCCCAGGTGCTTGAAGAGTGTGATGCCACTACCTCCAGGAAAAACAGTGGGGGTAAATGAGATAATACTGATGGTTCTCTAATTAGAGGAGGAACCCACTTTAGGGGAGGGGAACATGTGCTACTGCTCTTCTTCTCCCTTTACTTCACAGGGGGCTGCGGGCTAAGAGACGTGGGTGCCAGGAGGCCTTTCCCCAAAGCTCTGCCTGGACAACATACCACCCTGCCTGCTTTTCTTCCCTTATTCTGCCACTACCTGTGACCAGGTTCAGGACCTAGTGCCTTTCCCTGCCTGTTCCTCTTCTGACCTCGGCCTCTGCCATTGTCCTTAGGACTGCCTACTGTCTTAGCAGATGATGAGAAGGAACCCAGCAGAAGATCTGGTGGGAGAACCGCACGGGCTATCCTAGATATGAGGAGTCATCCACCTAGCAAGAGGCTCAGAAATGGAACGAGAACAATGGGTGTGCCAAGCTGAGTCCCCCCCAAAGAGGTGGAGGGACCTGAGAGGAAAGAGGTGACCTGGCAAAGGTGGTCATATTGGGTCCAGCTACTCAGGCACTCACCGCATTTGGGGAGACACCATCTGGCCTGGGGAGCGCTGCCTCCTCGCACCTGTGGGATCCGTGAGCACCAGACACGATCAGTCCATGGATGGTAGCTCCCATCAATGTACCAGCCATCTCCATGGTCATCCCTGGGGACAGAGCAGCTACACAAAGTGACCCAGTGCCATGTCCACCCCCAGGGGACCTAGCTTTTATCCCAAGACCTGGTGGTTCAGGTCCTGAAAGGCAATGTCATCCTCCCTCCAGCCCAAACTCACGGTATGCAGTGGCTGAGTCCCGTTCTCTCGGGCTGGGGGTCAGAAGCATGGTGAGTGCTGTGTAAGGCACCTGGAAGAACTGGGGTAACCAGGGCAATGGCTGGGTTGGCCTGTCTGCTCAGCTTCCCAACTTTGGGTGCCCTACATTCAAGAAGCTGAGCTACTTACTTTTCCACCCTAATACCGCCCAACTAGGAGCCAAAGGGACACCCAGCCCAGAACATGGTTAGAGGGAGCTAATGAAAGCTCTCTGTCGTTGGTGTGCAGGTGAAGGCAGTTTGTCCCTCCTGGTTACCAACCCCTTTCCACTTCAGAGTAGCCACTGGCCAGCAGTGGGTTCACCAGACTCCAGGCCCATGGAAGTGTTAATGGACTGAATTATATTCTCCCAAATCCTAACTTCTATGACTGTGGTTAGAATTGGGAATGGGTTGTCTTTGTTATGTTAATGAGGCAGTAGTAGTGTGGGGTGTATCTTGTATCAATCTCTTATAAATCTCAAAACAGATTAAGTAAGTGAGCAAAGGAAAGATGGGGTAAAAGAGATGTCAAGCTACATGTTACATGTCAGTCTTGAAGGAGGGACAAGTAGAAGCTTATGAGACAAAGACTTCTCTAGAGCTGACGGAGTAATAAAGTGTATTAAAATGGCTTTTCTTGTCTTTGACTGACTTTGTCATGTAGATGGGTGGGAATATGCAAATAAGGTGTGTTAGCCGATCTACAAGGGGACTGGCTAGTCTCACTGTTAAATCAAGCTGATCCAGCAGCAGAATGAGAGAACCTCACTACCACCAAGCAAGTAAGAGAATGTAACGTGTCCTTTGGGGCCAGAGATTCTTGCACCAGTCAGACCAGGGCCTGGGAGCAGCAGCCATAGCAGCTGCAGCTGAGAACAAGAGATGTGATGTGAGGCAGAGTGAACCTTGGGACTGCTATCCAATGGAATCAGAACTAGGAACATTTGCCCAAGTTTGTTGGACAATTGTGGTGGGGAAGAGAGAAGTTATCATTGGCAGTACTGCAAATCAGATCTGACTGGCACAGGAGGAGATTGCCCCTCCTTCTCCAGCAGAGCATCTGGGGGATTTGAACACCATGAGCCTTTGGTATTGCAATGCAGCTTCTTTGCCACTAGGTCACCAGAGCTCCCTGAAACTAGGTAAGTTTTAAGATACCTACAAATAAAAGACTAGATTGTCTCAAAAAGAAGTGTTAGCAAAATTATGGATGTTAGAGGCAATTTTGGTGAGGGTTCAGAAAGGACTGAAGAGCACTATTGAGAAAGTATCAAAAGAATATCTATGGCACCAGCAACAGAATGTTGCTAGAAAAAAATTATTTCTTATAATGTATTAACAAATACGTCAATTGACAAATATGGTTCTGGCAAACTTTTAAAAGAATTGATAATCATATGATTGGAAAATGGAAGAAATGTGATGCTTTTTGTGAAATGGCAAAGAATTTGACGTAAGTAAACATTCAACATTTTATTCACTCAAATGTTTGCTAGAAGATAAAACTTGTAAGTGATAGAGCTGGATACTTGGCAGATGAAATATGTTAGCAAGATCTTTTTTTAATATTATTTGATAACTTGTTCCATTTAATTTTTTCACATTTTTATCTTTTTTATTATTATACTAGTTTATTTGCAACATTTGAATACAATGTTTATCCATATGCTTTTCTCCTTATCATTTACAGTAAAATGCAAGGGAAAGAGTTGGACTTAAAAATTAACTGTGCAAAATGAAAACAAAACTTAAGATTTGTAAAATTCTGTTGCAGAAACTGAGGCCATGAAACCTAAAATGTTCATTAAGGATATGGCTATGCAGACTGTCGTTAAAAGAGATGAAGCCGGTGACTAATGGCTCTAACCAACCATCACAACAGAAAATCCATTTCATTAACATGGACAGAGAATAAAAGGAAAGAACACTGTCTGTCTTTTGGAATTCTACAGGCAGGAAACAGGCCAAAGGAGCAACATCTTTTGTCTTTCAAGAAAAGATCCACTCCGAGACCAAGGCTGTGTCAATGTCACAGTGGGGTCTTGAATCTCAAAGGGCAAGCCATAGCATCCTGAGTTTCAAGGAGTCAGATTTTTACCAGCTTGGTCCTGGAGTGTGAGCCTGTTGTTCAGGTGCGCCACAGGCATGGGGCTACTGTCCACAGCTGAGGAGGCAGCACTGCCATGCCCAACGGGTAGAAGAATGGGGTCTGTGAGGGCTGAGCGGCTGGGGTCACTACTCAGATGACTAGGAGAATGGGGTTGCCCACAGCTGAGGGAGTAGAATTGCTGTTAGTGAGGTGGAAGGCAGCACTCAAGGCTAGAGCCAACGGGGACATTCTACTTGGAATCCAGAGGGTGTGCCCAACATTCAGACCATAGATGAAAGGGCCCTAGCCTGAATGGTCCCAAAGAAGAGCATATTTTCCAACCCTGAGAGCAAATATAAATTCTCCTGCTGAGTTTTGGACTTGCGGGGTGCTCAGTGTGCTCTTTCTCGCCAATTTCTCCCATCTGTCAAGGAAACATCTACTCTGTGCTTGTTTCATCACTGTACTTTAGAAACTGATCATTTGTATTGTAGATTACACTGTTTCACAGATGAGGGAGTATTTGTCTTAGTATAAAATGTGCCTAAAGTCTTACCTATAATTGATTTTACAGATAATTCAGAAGATGAAATTTTTGGCTTTAAGACTTTTGGAACGACGGGATGAGGTGACTGTGCTTTACATGTTCAAGGACATGAATTTTTTGGGGGAACAAAGGATACATTATGGATTGAATTATTCCTCAAAGATATATGGGATAGGGATTCTAATGCCTATGCTGATGGGTTGTCTTTGTTATGTTAATGAGGCAAGAGTAGTGTGGAGTGTGGCTTGAGTCACTCTCTTTTGAGAGATAAAAATTAAACAAGTGAGCAGAAGAGAGATGGGGTAAGGCAGATGCTAAGATACCCAGAAAGTAGCAGCTGAGAGAGATGAGAACCTTCCTCCAGAATAGATGGAGAAAGGATGCCATGCCCTAGAACTGGTATTCTGAATTTGGATTTCTAACCTATCAAACTATGAGAAAATAAATTTGTTATAGTAATCCAATCTATGATAATTTGGTTATAGGAACATTAGAGAACTAAGACAAGGGATACTCACTGTGGCCAGAGCCTGGAACAGGCAATAGAAGATCATGTACCAGAGTCCCCGAAGGCTGGTGAAGGGGGGCAGGAACCACAGGAAGAAGTAGGCCAAGGCAATGAAGGGTGTGCAGCCCAGCACCCTGTAGAAGCACACAGGTGAGGAGCACCCTCAGCATCAGGACAGAGGGGCTGCCAAGGGCCCAGCCTAGTCTACTCTCCCCTCTTCTAGGTACAAACCCCTTGTCCAAGAAAAACTCCTAGACTGGAGTTATCAGAGTGGGAACCTGGGAAAAGGTGAGAAGTGGGGAGTAGGTTGAGGTGATTGATTGAATGGGAGGGATCCATGCAATGCAGAGTGCAATTCGCTACCGGACTGGGGTGTGGTGGTGTGATTCTCTCTACGAAAGACAAGCAACCTATTTGCATGAAGAGCCCTGGGTCAGAGCCAGAGGCATGGAGGCTTTGCTCTATGCTGCCTAGTTAAGGGAAAGGACCCAAGAACATCCCTGAATGCAAAGACTTAAAGTCTGATACTCTTCTGGTCTCTAGTCACCAGCATCCAACAATCCAAGGGGGTTTTCCACCAAGAAACAGGACTGTGACAAAGGCAGTGACCTCAGGGTCAGGGAAGGGCGCCTGAAGCCTGAAGCCCTCAGGGCTGCTCACCAGGGCATGAGTCTTCCAGACCCAGTGCTCCTGCTTCTGTTGATGAGGAACCCAGCCAAAGGGTCAGCAGCTGCCCCAGACACCTTCCCTCCAAACAGGACAAGTGATACCTGGGCAGCAGGGATCTGCAACAGAGGAGACAAAACAACCTGGGAGAAGAGCTGAGGGTGTTGTGGGCTCCTCCCTGTTGAAGGGAAAGCTGGATGCCTAGTGGGAACAGAGGCATGGACAGGACAACCAGGTCCCCATGCCAGAAGATTCTGAGGGCAGAAGCACACTAGGGAAAGACAGGTGGGGAGCGAGCGGGCAGCTGCACAAACAACCATGCATTACTCCTGCCCTGTCACCTCTGAAGAGGATATGAGGTGTCCCCAACAGAAGCTCATGGTGTAACCCAGCAAACCTAGGCTGACAGAGGTAGACTTTTTACTTCATAATGAAAATGTTTTATTGATTTTTGTAAGTACATAAACACTCATTATAAAGAAATATACAAACAAGTGAAGAAAAAATATTAAACAAACTCATGTAAATTTCAGTATCCTGATATAACTGTCAAAAGCACTTTGATAATATTTTAAATTCATTTCTAATTTATACCTTTACGTAAGTGGAGTCCTATTTGTGTCATTTAAAAAAATCATGAATCTTTTAAAAATATCTTTTTTTAAATCACCCTTACACTTCCACCATTTCCTCCTGTAGCCACCAACATGTTGTATCTTCTTCCATCATTTTCTCCATGATTATCATGTAATTGTGTACACACACACACACACACACAACGGTGCATATCCTTTTGGTAAAGAGAGTAATTTTACATATTATACTTTCAAAATAGCTTTTCTCTCTAGAGAATAAGTCTGGAGGAGGCATAGATTTAACTCTTTTGAACAGCTGCTTAATAGTCAACTGATCACGTGGATATATTAAAAATTTTCTGAAAAGCAAAAACAAAACCAGAAAAACATTGTCCTTGAGTTAATTCCAACTCATGGAAACTGTGGGATCGAGGGACCTGCCCAGTGGGGGTTTGTAAGCATGTGTCTGATGGACGCAGACCGCCATACCTTCTTCCATGGAATGGTTCACTCATTAAACTTGCTGCTGTCATGCTGGAAAGGACTCACAGCTGCCTGATTTAAAGTTGTAAAGAGCATGGGAGGCAATTTGCCTGCCTTTGGGTTAAAGTGCAACTCCCTACAGACTACACCACCAGAGCTCCTTTATGTTGTTGTGTTTCATCAAACGGGAACAGACTCATAGCTGACCCTCCAGGACGTTTTCAGAGGGAGTTAATCACACAGAAGGAGATGGCCCATCTTTCTCTCACAGAATGGCTGGTGAATTTGAACTGCATGCCTCCGGAAAAGCAGCGCAATTCCTTGCCACTAAGCTCCCTGACAGAGATATAGCATGGTGTATTCAACTGCTTCCGTACTTTTGGGCATTCGTGCTGTTCCCCCTTTCCCTCATTGTTCATAGGGCTGTAATAAACATCCTTGAGGAGGGTGACTTTCAATGGTTTTCTGCTTTTTGTCAGGCTTGGGTCAGAGATGGTTCTACCAATGCAATGGTCATTATCCACTCTTGTCTTAAGAAAGAACTGTTTAAAATATATGATTAGGCATTTTATGTATGACAACAGCCCAGAATATGAGGCACATTGCAAAGAGGATTAGGGGGAGGAGGGATGGGAGGTAATTGTGCAACAATGAATGAATATTTTTTTTTAAAAAGTGAACTAGGGGAGGGGAAAGGGAGGGTGAGGGGGTAAGATATGCAACAATCAATGAATGAATAACAATCTAATGTCTTTGTAAGTGGTCATTAAAATCACAATTAAAATGAAATTTTATTTATTTTTTTAAAAAAGGAGAAATGGTTCTACCAAGGATCAGTGATGTCAGTGCAGATATAAGAACTAGACAGGGAGCAAGACAGAAGGAAGGTGGAAGTAGGTAATGCCTCTTACCTGGGCCACATCAAGCAGGAAGAGCTGCAGGTAGAAGGCTGTGGCACTGGAGGCCACCTGGTTGGGGATTCCACCAATGCCATAGCACAACTTTGTGCAAAACGACAGGTGCTTGGCTCTGCTGTCCTGGAGGAGATACTAGAGCTAAGCCAAATCCTATGGCACCCCCCCCCCGCCCCCACCTCTGGCTTCCATTTGGCATCCTAAGTCACTGTGATTCTTCTCAACCCCAACTTATCCTAAAGGGAAGTGAGACAGAAGAACTCCTAAACCATGACCTTGTAAACGCTACCAGGGAGAAGTTCTTCCCTGTATTTCCTCTCCATGCTTCCCTTTGTAGCCCACTTGAATTTTTGGAGTCAGCAAGAGTGAACTAGGAGTCAGGAGACCTGGCCTTGAGCCCTGTGTCACCCCTACTCCAAGCATGACCCTAAGTAGGGGCACATTCTCTCTCTAAGCGTTTCACCCCCTCATCTCTTCATCAGAATATCCCTGACACAGGGTTGTTCTCATGTGAGCTGACTGTTAAGTGTTCAAAACTTTTGCAAGCCAGTTGTGGCATCATTGGCAGCTTGAGACCATTCATGGTGAGAACATTCACACCACGGAATCAGCAAACATTACAAAACAGTATACATCAGCCCCCTTTCTGCCCCACTGTTGACCAAGTCACCACCGACCTGGCGGCCCCAAGCCATCCACTGTACTCCAGAGTCAAATACCTACTTACAGTTCCCACGGGTGTCTAATAGGCATCTCAGCTTAGTACGATCAAACCAAACTATGTTCCATCCCATTATCTAAACTGGTTTCTAGCCCTGTTGTCCCTATTGCACTAAATTGCACTGTGTACACAGTGGCTCAGGTCTGAGTCATTCTAGATTCCTCTTTCTCACTTTCCCCACATTTAATCTACCACAGAGAGCCAGCCTCCTAAGCAGCTTCCTAGCTTTTGCTCTCATCCTCTACAATCCACCAGCAGTGCAGCTGCATAACTGTAATCCACTCTCTGTGCAGATGATTTGATAACATAAATCAGATCATGTTTTCTCTCTGCTTAAATGCCTAGAACAGCCTGGCATTACACTTTCAATAAAGCCAACAGTGGGGCTGCTGATTGGCCCTCACCCCACTCCCCACCTCACTTAGTTTTTCTCTAGTCATGGTGACTTTATTTGTAGTCTTTAAAATCTTATTTCTTAATCTGTTGGCTCCCTCAGGGCCTTTGCACTTCTAGGTACTTCTGCCTGGAAGACTCTCCTTCCAGGTCTTTAAATAGCTGACTCCTTGCCATTCAGGTCTCAACTTAAATGCCACTTATTCAGGCCACCCCATTTCTCTCCTCGGACTCAATGTCTGATGCATTCTATTTTCTGCTCTCTCTGAGAGCATGAACCATAACTGTTTTATTCACGACAGTGGTTCCAGTTGCTAGAACAATGCTTGACACGTACAGACGGTAAATATGCAAGGATAAATGAATGGGGGTGGGGGGCGGTTGGTAGGGAGAAAAGTGCAACAATGAGTGTCTGGAAACCCTAAGTCTCTGTAAACTTTCATTAATTTAAAAAAAAATCATTCTTAAAAAAAAAAAGATAAATTCTTAAGAAGGATCACACTTTTTTCAAAAGATGGAGGGGATCCTGATTAGGATCCCACTCTCCCATATTGTGCTGGTGGGCCCCACTGTGCTCTTTTGACGGGAAGGTCTTCCCAGATAAGGTTTTATCACATCCTCTGCATACTCTCCTATACACAGGAGAACCCACACGAAGGCAGGATGTGGTCTTTCTGAAGTTTGTATGGCCATCATTTCAACTTCCAGAAAACTTAAGAACAGGAAGAATTCAACATAATAGTTCTCCCTTCTCCCAGAACGAGACCTCTCTAAATGTTTCTACCAGAGTTTGGCACACGCAAGATAGAAAAGGAAATCCAGCTAAAACTAGGAGTATATTCTATAAGTCTGGCCAATTTTACCTGCCTAATCATAAGCTCTTCACAGTGGACTCAGTATAAACTATTCAGACAAACTTTTGTCCATATCCCCTATCTGCTGTTTTTACATGACTCCTTGGACAAATTACTTAACCCCACAGAATTTGTTTCCTTGCTTATAACATGGGGCTAATATGTTCGTTCCATGGGGTTGTTATGAAAGTTCACTGCAGGTACTTCACTGGTGATGTTTCTTCCTTGTTACCATTAATTAACCTCACCTCAAATTCCTGTATCTCAGTGGAAAATGGGTTTCCCTAGAAGTCTCATCTCTCCTTCGTCGGAGCCACAGATCTTTGCTCTGTGTTATCTGAGGAAGAACTGAATCAAGATGAGAAACTGGGATGGTGGTCAAGTGGCTTCAAGTGAAGCCACAAAGAAAATGCCTTCACTACATTCTGTGACACTGAGAGCTCCTAAATTCTTTTCAGTACAACTTGACTTTTCCACATGAGACCCCGCCTCATGCATCCAGAGTATGAAAAAGAACTGCAGATATCCCTGGGTTCCTAAGTATCCATCCACCCCCTCAGCCCTGAGCTGGAGGAAGCCTCCTTTCACAAAGAACCCAATGCCTGCGTTAAACCAGTAGTTTGAGAGGGAAGTTAACTAGATACCACCTAGAGAGTGTGGAGGAGAGGTATCCCTCTCACACTAGGAAGCCTTACGCCCCAGGGCTCAGAATTCCATCCCCGAGGGCCTGGAGTGCACGGGAGGCCTGGCTTGCCAATCAGGAGACCAGGAGATCCTAGTTCCGCCTGATTGTGAGCAGCTAGCCAGGTACTTCTGCTCTGGGAGGTTTCCCTATCCCTTTACCAGCAATCTGTCATTGTCTTCCAGTTGGCACTAAGTCATAGCTAACCATCAAGGTTTTTCAAAGCTGTGAATTGCAGGGAGAAGACTGCCCATCTTTCTCCAACATTGCCTCTGGTGAGTTAAAAAGGCATGGCAAACTCTCCAAACCCATTGCCTCATAGTCTGAACCTACACATAGCTAACCTTTCAGTTGCATACCAAACTGTCAAAGCCACTAAGGACAATGTCAGGCTGATGGCTGAAACAAGCCCACACTGATCCTGGCTGAGTAAAGAGGTGGGACCAGCTGCTAAAGAGACCCTGAAGCTAGAGGGATCTTCTCGGCCAGCATTCGCACGCTGGAGTCCAGAGCCCCTACTCTGGCCTTGCTCAGACCCCACTCCCTGCTGCCCTTGCTTTGCGCTCACCGAGCTGGGCTCCACGGTGCACGCTTCGGATTGGGATGGCGGAGCCTCCACTGTCAGCGCCGAGGTCCCGCCAGGGGTCACAGCCATAGTGTGCTCTGCAGATCCAGCTAGCTGTCACCTTCTGGTGTTATCGACCCGACGCAGAGGAGCTGGCTCGGGCCCCAGTGGTGTCTCTGCTCACGGACTGGGGTGGCTCCTGCTGCCGGGGCGTGGCTCAGGGTGGCGCCAGGAGAACCGGGGCCTCACGCACCCGTCTGAGGGCGAAGCACTTGGAAACGGAGAAACCACGAAGAGCACCTTTCGTTTCTCCAAAAGATAAACCAAAACAAACCCACCAACAACCGCAATATGCAATTCGGAAGGAAGGGGAAGGCCCGCAGTCCCTGGGGCGGTTCTTCTTGGGTAGGTCACCCAGGGAGTGAGCGGGAGGCAGACGGCCTCAGGCACTTGTTCATGCTAAACACACTTGGTAAATCTTCAAGGGTAAAATTCTGCAAAGAAATGGATTTTTAAAGTAAAGCAAGAGTACCAATGTGTTCACACACTAAGAGTATGGATGAAGAGGAACTGCTTTGAAGCTCTTTTTTTGGACTAGATGCCCCAGGCATTCTCCAACCTCTCATACAGAAGGGCATGGTAGAGAATCATAGCAGATGACAAACAGAAATGGTGCAAGCAACTTCCTAGAGAGGTCTTAGAAGTGATCATACTGCAAGCAAAATTATTTCAAAGAGCATCACTGACTAAGAAGTAAAGTGTAAGACTCTTAAGAAAAAAACACAGAGGGAGCTCTGGTGGCCTAGTGGCAAGAAGCTGCCCTGCAATCCCAGAGGTATACCATTTGAATCCACCAGATGCTCTGCTGGAGAAGGAGTGACAATCTCCTCCTGTAACAGTCAGATCCAATCTGACGGTACATACACACACACAAAATATAATAAAATTTAAAAAATATTTTAAAAAAGGAAGAAAACACAGGAAGAAATCTCTGCAACCTTGGGCTGGACAATGGATCTTATCATGGACATGGAACTTAATATCCAGAATATGTAAACAATTCTTATGACTCTACAATAAAAAACCCAAACATCCAATGAAAAAAATCAAGCCTTAGACTCTAAATAGACATTACTCCAAAGAATATCTAAAAGTGTACCATAAACCCCAGCATGAAACATACTTCACACCATCTGTTACTAAGGAAATGCAAACCAAACTACAAGACACTTCATACCCATTGTTGTAGTGCACCGAGTCCAGACAGCTGACACTCCAGCAGGTTTTCACACCCACTAGGACAGCTTAAACAGCCCTGGTGGCATAGATTTTACATGAACGTGAGACGCAGCTCCTCTTATAAAGATTTATAGCCTCAGAAACTTGATGGAAAGTTACCAAATGAAAATCAACTCCGAAGACAATGGTTTTTGGTTTAGGTTTGGTGTAGGATGGCTATTATGAACAAAGGCATCTAGTTTTAGGGAGGCAGCAGAGAAATTAGAGCTCACACAAATCAGAATTCTCACCAATACAATATTGGAGGGAATATAAAAATGATACAGCCAGTTCAGAAAAGTCTGCCAGTAACTCAAAACGTTAAATGTAGAGTTACCACAAGAAAGACCTAGCAATTCTACTTCTAGGTATCCACGCAGAGAAATGAAAATATAGCCACATAAAAATTCTACATTGCTTTAAAAATTACCTTTTTCAGTTATTATGAATACTTGCATTAGTCATAATAGCTAAAAGGTGGCTATTTTTAGCTATTTAGCTAAAACTGACAGATGAATAAACAAAATGTGTTATACTTCTCAAATGACTAAAAGGGATGAACTCAGAAAATGGTATATTAAATGAAAGAAGCCATTATATTACAGTACATATGGTTCCATTTATAAATGTACACTATAGGTAAATCTATAAAGACAAATGCAGATTTGAGTGAAGGAGTTGTCTCTGGGTGCTGTATATAGTTAAGCACAAAAACGCTGATGAATTGGATCCCCCAGAAACACGTTGGAAGCCAAGTTTGGCAATCTGCCTTGGAAAGACCACAGCCTTGAAAACTGTAGAATCAGTTCTGCTCTGTACACATGGTGTCCAAGAGCCACCATCAACTCCACAGCTAGTAGCAGCAACAGAATGGATTCTGAGGCTAGGGACTGACAGCTCATAGATATAATATTAAAAAACAGAAATATAAATTTTTTTATTTTGACAGGTTGCAAAATTCTATTAAAAAAAAAAACAAAACAACAACCAACAAGTGACCTGCACATTTTAAGAGAATGAATAGTATATGAATTACAGCTCAAGAAAATTATTTTCTTTAAAAAAGAAAGGGGTGTGTGTCTTTCCACTGAGGCACCGAAAGTTAAGCCATCACTTAAAATAAGATAGCTGATGGTAAAGCAGGTAACTGGCCCAGGAGTTCACATGTCTGAGATAGGCTGATCAACATCACCACAGGGGTTTTGATGATTTCATGACACTAAACTATTGGTACTGAACCGCTTAGCTCTGGATTCTTGCATGAAAAAGAAAGAAAATTTTATAACAGAAGCTTGTTACTTTAAGGTTTCCGCCACAGTTGAATCTTGTAATAGATATATTAGGGAGGACTGGTCCTTGGAGAGGGACATCATGCTTGGTAGGGAGGGACAGCGCAGGAGGAGAAGACCCTCTATGAGGTGGATTGATTCAGTGACTGGGGCAATTGGAATGGGTGTATTGGAGATGGTGCGAATGGCACAGAACAGAGTTTAGAGCTGTTGTACACAGGGTCGCTATGAGTCGCAAGCGACTCGACGGCACATAATAACGACAAGTGACCTACTGTTAAGGAGCTGTGCTGCCAACCTGAAGGCAAGCAGTTCAAATCCACCAGATGCTCCATGGCAGGTGGTTGGGCAGGAAGATGGGGCAACCTCCTCCTGTGTGATTTCCTGCCAGTGCTGAAATGATGGTATGTAACAACAGACACACTATCCAGTAAAAGGCACTTCTTTTCATTCTATGTGCCTCAATTCCTTAATTCACTAATGTTTCTTTGATTGCACTTCTATTAACAGTAGATAATGCATGTGTTAAATACTTCATTCCTTGGAAACAAAACATAAGCTTAAGTTTCTTTAGATGATCTACTTTTTTTATAAACTTTTACAGAGATCATTTTATGAATACTTTTAACAGACATGAAAACAATATATTCACAATGCCTGAATTTTCTGACTCATTTTTTTAATACTTGTACTTGTTTGTGTATGCTAACACAAACTCTATTTTGAAAATTAGGTTAATTTTTTTTCTGCACAGGTATGTAATTGAATAAAGTCATGTGCTCCTAGCAGCTATTATTTTAGTATTATGATGCTAAGTTCTTAATGTGACTTCTAATACAAAATAAGTTAAATCTTGTGAAATAAAACAGCAGAACTACAATAATCAAGAAGCCTGCCTATAGAATAAAACAAATCTAAACACTGGCACACTAAAAGAAAGGATATACACTAAAATGTTATCTTGATGGTGGAATTTTAACAGGTAACTTAAAAACTGTTTTTGCATATCTATATAATTTTCTAAAATGAATATGAATCACATTTGAAAAAATAGACATTTAAAAAACAACTAAGAGATATCATCTCACCCCAGTCAGAATAGCAAAATTTAACAGAACAGCAAGCAACAAATGCTGGCGAGTCTGTAGAGAAACTGGAACACTTACTCACTGTTGGTGGGAATGTAAAATGGTGCAACCACTGTGGAAGGTGGTATGGCGCTTTCTCAAAAAGTTGCAAACAGAGATACCATTTGACCCAGCAATTCCACTACTGGGAATATATCCCAAAGAGACCATAACTGACATCCAAGCAGATATATGCACACCCATGTTTATCGTGGCTCTGTTCACAATAGCAAGGAGTTGGAAACAACCCAGGTGCCCATCAACAAACGAATGGGTAGAGAAGCTGTGGTATATTCACACAATGGAATACTATGCTGCATTGGAAAAACAAGGAACTCATGAAATATTATTCAAAATGGGCGAGCCTGGAGGACATTATGCTGAGTGAAATATCTCAGTCGCAAAACGACAAATACTGCATGGTGCCACTGCTGTAAAATGGGACTGATATCAGGGTGGGGGTAAGACTGAGAAAAACTGGATAAATTGTGTATACTGCACTGAAACAGATGAGAGACTGAATAATTTAGAAGCGATGTATGATAGGGTATTGTGGTTATCACAAGAGTCCACAATTAAGGTTGCATAGTGGAATGTACTTGGGGCGGTGGGAGGGGTGCAGGGGGACTGTGTACCAAGGAGAGAGTCTTTCTTTTACTTTTGAAGGAGAGGAGCGAACTGGGGGGCGGGGGGAGAGGGCTGGGCGGGGAGAGAAGTGCAGCAATGAATGAATGGAAATCCAAATTCTCTGTAAATGTTCATTAAAATTATTAAAAAAATTAAAATAAAATAGACATTTAAAACAAATGACAAAGACTCAAATATTAAAGACACTGCAAAATGACCCACTTCTAGTTGAAGATTTAATGTGATAAGCAATTTTTTAACTCAGATGGTGTGCACTTATGAAGGAAAAGGACAAAGACGTAAACTCTACTAAGTATCCATGTTAGTTCAACTTGAGGTATCAAGAACAACTTAAAAAAAAGAGAGAACCATTAAGAGAGTGTAAAAAATGTACATTTCTGAATATTAAATGAAAACAATATGGGTTAAAGTACCCAACTTACAAAGGCAACTAATAAATGCCTCTTGAATCTCAAACTGAATTAATTTGTTGATAAAGATGACATATGCAAGTTTACCTAATAGCTAATTAACAAACACATGTAAATTATTTCACAGATCTTTTTAATAAGTAGTTATTAAGAAATAGCCTTAAGAAAACACATCTTTAGCCATGAGAAGAAGACTGCTTTCAAAAGACTTTAAGGCACTGCAAAGGATGCATACATAGCATATCTTCAACACACTGAAATGTAATGAAAAACATACTGAATGAGAGAAGTAGATAATATAAATAAGATTACTTTCTAAAGCCAGATAATGCATAGTACTTTAACCAGTAAACTGGAATCTGCCTTTTGTGTATATTAACCCTAGCAATGATTTTCAGGAAACAGATGAGAGTTTTGAAATAATTATTGAGTCATGTCTAATTGAAGTCCACACTTAAAATGCTAATCTTCAAGTTTTTCTTCCCTTGAAGGATGTTTTCAGTTTGCTTTCCAAAGTCAACCCCGTTCAGTAGTCCAAACATTTAATTTCTACATATATTTCTTCTTCTAGCTTTACTACTTTTTAACTTTCAGGTAAAAAGTTTTAGTGATGATTCTTACTTTAGAAAAACCTTTCAAAAGGTAATTCACATTAATAAAAGTTTTTTGTTTTAAAAGATGAATGATTGACAGCACACCATTAAAGTCAGTTGTGGGGGTGCTTTGAGGAGAAAAAAAAAGCTTCAAGTAGTCACTGGCAAAGGACTACATTATTAAAATGTTATGGGGAGATGAGAATCTATACCAGTCATTAAATTTTCTGAAGGGCCAGTAGAGGCAAAGAAAAAAAAAGATGATTATTGCTGAGGATAGGTCTCTATTGAGATTTCTCATCAAGCAATATTCTACATGCACACATGAGAAAATCTGCAAGATATCTTCTCATGAAATAATTCTAACAAGAAAATTCACCAAAAAAGCTACTGTATTCTTATGTACACACAGAATATTCCCAATGAGGAGACCCTATAAAGGAATATAATAATATGTAATTATAATAACACAAATGAAAATCATAAAATGTGTTATAATACAGACATCATTAAACTCTACAGATTCTTGTGCATCAATTAACAATTACGTTAATTTTTGTACCTGAAAGTTCATTGATTTTTACCTTTGTAAAAGAACACAATAGTTTTTGTTTCATTCTAAGTGAGTTCAAACATTGCTGTAAACATTGCTGACAACAGACATTTACTGTCTATTCTGTATCTGTTCATTTCTTAGGGAAAAGATATCCAGGCTCTCTTCCTAGTAAAAAGATGGACCTGCCACGTGGAGGAAGGCTGGGAGCTTGGAAAAGCATTCTTAAAACGGATTGTAAAAAGAAGACAGCTCTAGAAAGCAGGGCATCCAGTTAAGTGTACATATTTCTTTTTTTTTTTAGTACCTGAGTATTTAATAAACACTTCATTTAAACATTACAGCCTTTATAGGAAATGAAACAGGGTCATGCCATGATTATTTCTAAGTAAATGGGGAACAGCTTTCTAAGAGCAAACTGTGAATGATGAGCATCAACACTCAGAGTTTGTAAAGCTCTAGTTCAGTGAATAATCTTTACTGCCCATGGTGTAGAAGGCAGGTTTTATTTTGATTCAGTGGAAGCTCAGTGCAAAATTTTCTTTCACAACATACCTAAGAATCATTCCCATTTGAAAATGCACAGACGTGAGATCCATTCTAAATATTATAAACTAGAATGAGTGAGGTAGTTAGCAGGAAAAGGCATTTTGAAAAGTTTCCCAAGATGACTCTTATACTAAGGCTTACAAATGAATGCAAACCATTTCTTTTGCCTTATATTTCAAACTGTGGTTCTGGGGCAGGGGGCGGGGTGGGATCTCTCTGAGACACTTTCAAGAAGGAATGTAATGTCCAAACTATTCTCATAATAACATGAAGAGGTGAACTGCGATTTTCACCACTCATGAGGGTACAGGGGCATCTGTCCATGGCTATAAGATGTGTCATGCTACAACAGACTGAATATAGAAGCAGATCCAAAAATCCATCTGTCTTCTTTAAGTCAGACCTTAAAGACATTTGCAAAGATGGAAAGCAATGTCACTTTTCTTCTCAATTCTTTGTGTTTTATAAAACATATTTAACATGTTTATGTTAATAAAAGATGATTAATTAAATATTTTAAATGGTTTTAATTTATAATATAATATTAATAGATGTAACCCATATAAAGAAACAGCCTGAAGACTAGCCAATTGAGAACTGCTTTACAGTGAAATATCTAAGTTTCACAGGTTCTAGTAAAGTCTAGATACAAATCGCAGCTTCCTTGGTGACATCAGAACGTAATAAATAATCCTTTTTATATATACCAAGGCTGATTCTGATGTATAAAATAAAAATCTGTATTTTTTATAATGCAAAATGCAATTAAAATTCATTAATTAATTTTCTGATAACACAGCCATCAGATACTGAGTGTTGGCAAATGAATGACTAACCTCAAATGTCAGCAAAACCCAAAGCACTAATTTTACAAACAGAAAGAAATAGAGGATGGGCTGGAGAGAAAAGAAGTTTAACAAAATCACATTTTTAGAAAAAACAGAAATTTCTCACATAGGCAGATTAATTATAGTATTATACTAAACTACAAAATTTTATTATGAAATAAAAACACATCTTTGGTTCTGTCGTCAATTCAATATTTTGAATCGTGTCACAAAGAATGAAAATTGAGAACATTCTGAGGTTAAGGTGGGGCTCTGTTCAAACATGTTTCTCAAGACAATTATCTTGCAATTAATAGTTTGTGGTATTTTGTGGTTTTGTTTTGTTTTTTTCTAATTTATTGTTATCTTTTTAGTCTGAGACACTGACCATTTATTTCAGTAAATCACTTCCATTTGGAAAGGTAATTAAACGCTGCTTTTAATGAATGGTAGTATGAACATATTTGCTAATTTATACCACATTAAGATCTTCATGTTAGAACTATTATAATATACCTTATGCTGATTAGTTGGTATTTAAAAATGGGTATATTATCTCTGAGGAGCCTTTTGGAAAAAGTGCACTGAATACAGTTTCTAGTCACATTGTACTTCACTGACTTATACTTACTGAAAAATGTCAAGGTTAAATAGTTCTTGAACCAAAAGTCCAGTGAATTTGACTACTCTTTCCTTCACTTTTATTTTCATGTCCATTTATAACCACCATTTCTCCAAAACAATCCACTTATGCTACCAAAACCCAATGCTATGAAAGTTCTCTAAAAGGCTCAGCTGTTTTTTTGAGTCTTTGAATGATCACAGCGTTCTGTAAATGCGCTTCTTCCAGAGTGAGTGTCTCATCTAACAATCTGAGGAAGGGAAGTGCTGTTGCCAGAGAAAAAGGAGGACTTCTTTGAGATCCTTGGTATCTTTCGATGAAATCTTTGACGTGGCTCACCCTGTAAAATAGCACAAACTATTAAGATGATTATATGAAAATGTGCATTATCTAACTTAGAGTAGTAACAGCTTGTGTAGGTTCCTGGCCATATTTGGACATGCTAATACCTAGAATAATCACAATAGGCTATGACAGAATCAATCATCTGAGTGAGGTACTTTATTAATTTCTTTTGACTATTAGATGTACTAGTGTTAATAGTTTCTGACTGAGTGAGGTACTTTAAGAGACAGATTCTTATCTGATGACAATAAACAATTACTGTTTTTTAGGTGTAATAAGGCTTGTATGGTTATTCTTGTCTTTTTTTTCTTTTTTTTTTAAACAGTTCTTAACTCTTGTTGTTACGTGCCATCAAAACTGACTCATAGCTGACCCTGCAGTGGGTTTTCAGAATCAATAAACTGCACAGGATAAGAGTGCCTGTCTTTCTCCTGCAGAGTAGCTGGTGGATTAGAACTGTGTGCCTTTGGGATTGCAGTGCATTTTCTTACCACTAGACCTCCGGAGCTCCCTTCTTAATTCTTAGAGATATACAATATTTATAGATGAAACCACAGCAGGTCTGGGATTTGCTTAAAAAACAATGAAGATTGATTATATACTTTTCTTTGCTGTTGTATGTATCTTGAATTTTCTAAAATAGAGAGTTTATACATTTGAAACTCATCACAAGTCCAATTATGGACATATAAAAAAACCTGAATGTGCCAGGTCATGTTGTACTTTGAGTCCAATTAGGGAAACACTTAGAAATTTCTGATGTTACTTATTTGTCTTTAATCTCAGTGCAGGTGAACACAGTGTGAGTCATCTTAATGCAACATAATCACTGCTATCTTCAAGAACCTCAAAATTATGCTCACTGAAGTACATATATTCATATATCAAGAGAAAAAGAGGCATATACTTGCTATTCATAAAAACTAAGATGATTGCTTTAAGATACATTATTATGCATCACTGAAAAAAAAGGTCAAACTATGGCAAACATTTTCTGAACATTTACTTTCTTAAGCCCCCTGAAATAACACTTATACTTAATTTAGGACTAAAAACTTATAATATCACTCATGTGCTTCATACAATGAAAAAGAGAAGTAGAACAAGGTGCTTAAAAGAACTATGAGATATCATTTCACCTCAGTAAGAACAGCAAAATTTAACAGAATAGCAAGCAACAAATGCTGGCGAAGTTGTGGAGATACCGGAACCCTTATTCACTATTGGTGGGAGTGTAAAATGGTGCAACCACTGTGGAAGGCGGTATGGCACTTTCTCTAAAAGTTGCAAATAGAGATACCATTTGACCCAGCAATTCCACTACTGGGAATATACCCCAAAGAGACCATAACTGACATCCAAGCAGATATATGCACACCCATGTTTATCACAGCTTTGTTCACAATAGCAAGGAGTTACCTAAGTGCCCATCAACAAACGAATGGATAGAGAAGCTGTGGTATATTCACACAATGGACTACTACACTGCATTGAAAAACAAGGAACTCATGCAATATTATTCAAAATGGGTGACCATGGAGGACATTATGCTGAGTAAAGTATCTCAGTCACAAAAGGACAAACACTGCATGGTGCCACTGTTGTAAAACAGGACTGACATCGGGGTTGGGGGGGAGACTAAGAAAGGTGGGTTCAATAATGTATACTGCATTGAAACAGATGAGGGAGAAAACTCTTCAAAAGGGATATGTGATTAGGTATTTTTGTCATGATAGGAGTCCAGAGCGAAGGCTGCACAGTGGAGTGGACTGGGGGGAGGGATTGTAAAACAATGAAAGAATTTTTTTTTTTACTTTTCAAAGAGGGGAGTGTACTGGGGGCAGGCGGAGAGGGTTAGGAGGGGAGAAAAGTGCAACAATGAATGAATGGCTATCCAAAGTCTCTGTAAATTTTCATTGAAATTAATAATAAATTTTTTTTTAAAAAAAGAACAAGGTCCTTGAGGTCTTCTTATAAAACTGTATTCATATCTAATTTCATCAGAGTTGGACAACAACTAAGGATGACAGAAGAAAAATTGATGTCTTTGAGATGTGGTGCTGGAGAAGAGTCTTAAACACACCAGTGACTGCCAAGAAAACAAATAGGTCTGTCTTGGAGAGGGTGAACCCAAGCTTCTTTGAGGCTAGGATTTTGAAACTATGTCTCACATACTTTGGGCACATGGCCAAGAGGGGCGTTTCTTGGAGAAGGACATCACTGCAATTCTTGGAGGACATCATGCTCGGAAGGGTGGAGGGACAGCGCAGGAGAGGAAGGCCACGATAAGATGGATTCATAATGTTAACTGGGGAAATGGGGGTAGGTGTGTTGGAGTCAGTGAGACTGGTTCAGGACAGGGCAGGCTTCAGAGCTGCTGTATATAGGGTACCTATGAGTCACAGGCAACTTGATGGCACATAACAATAATTTGGGGTAACTTTCGATTCAGTAATCAAAGTAGATCAATGTTTGCTACCTAATACCTTCCTCCTTATCATCAGCTGTGCTTATGTTGGTAATATCACTCACTCACTCGTTGCCTTGAGTTAGATACATATATAAAACATAACCCCTAACTCCAAGGCTGAGTCTCCAGTGGTTCTACTCCACTGTAGCTCTGCAGGAGTCTCCTCCAGTGAAGATTTACAGCCTTGGAAACCCAATGGACGGTCACTGTGAGTTGGGTCTTAATCAAGAGCAGTGAGCAAGAGAGTTTATTATCAGTTATCTTCATAAGCATGGCTGTGTGTGATAGCAGAGCTTAAATTGAACATTTGTATCAAGAATGGTAACAGCATCAAATTACGCATTGTTGTTGTTGTTGTTATGTGCCCTCGAGTCGCTTGCGACTCATAGTGACCCTATGTACAACAGCCCTAAACTCCGCTCTGTCCTGTGCCAATCGCCCTGTCTCTGACACTCCCATCCCAATTATCCCAGTCACTGAATCAA